CAAGTAAGACCACAACATAACTCATCGAGACACATCGAGACACAATCATCGATAATTCATTCCTTTGAACAATCGCTTCCAAACCAACCAGTGGTCGGAATAGCTGATCCGCTAATGTATTCTCAATCACGCCATTATTTGCGACGTATATACAAGTCCATCCTAGTTCTCCCTACACAACGATGACTCGGCAAGTCATCCAATACCAGAACCCACCCGCATACCTCAGACAACAACCCTGCAATCCTTTCAATTTGAAACAGCGATTGGACGAACAAAATTTCCATCACATGCTGATAATTCATATCTCGATGAGGTTATATTCTCACCGGAAAATAAAATAAATTATTATGCAATCGTATCCATGATCACGAAACATCGTATACACAAATTAGCTCTTAATATTTGTTTTTGTGGTTTCAGAATACAGAATATAAGATGCTATGCAGTGGCGCAACCAGGCCGTTTTCAACGTGGGGGTCCGTCCGGAATTCACACGGTGCAAATACGACATAAGTCGCAAAGCCACTGGGTGTAACGTTTCCCTCGCCTTGCGTCTCGTGGATAGTGAAACACGCCTTGAATAAACCTCGCCTTGCTCGTTGAGTTAAATCCTCAAGACTAAAAATGAAATGCACTTCTTGCGAATGACGTCAGAAAAAATTCTCTCTGTATACTTTATTATGGCAAAAGTTGGGATGCATATTTTGCGAGTGTTTTGGAGAGTTGGCACTTACAAACTGATTTACATTACATGTTCGTTTTAGTGTAGTCAATCGCAGCTTTCCCGGGACTAATTTTTGATTATTACAACTAAACTGAAGCTCGCCGGAAGTTCCTCTTACAATTATTTTATTTTTTATCACAATCGAAGGCAGCCATGTGCGGTTCGACAATAAATAACATCCGACATAAAAGGATTTCTATAAACGCCGACTTGAAGTACTTATAAGACGTCGAGGACGTTTTAGATTGAAAATATTTTACAATTATTATCGTCTATTTTAACTTAGTTTAACTCGGCAATACATCTATCGGAAAAATGTTTTCTAATTAATTGCTTTCATCCTCAGTTTCGATAGTGACCGAACATAACAGAAATTTTTCATTTCTTGTAATTTAGAGCGTGTAAAATAGCTTAAATAGTATTTAATATCTATCACGGATTTTATCGGTATCCGGCGTTGATAACAATATCGTTCAGCTTAGTTTGGCGGTATTTATTTACAAATAATTTCAATAATCAAATTAGTGGACCCGATTTTCATATTTCCATCCGCCAATAATGGAGAATTAAGACGGAACGTATTTTATTTTTCGAGTCGTCGCTGATTTAAATTTTTCATGTTATTAGTTATACTTTATTTTTGATTATAAATCAATAACGCCAACTTAAATGAACGATATTGTCATCAACGATGTTGGGATTAGGGATTTGTTCAAAATAAATTGTTTTAAAACAATTGTTTTAAATCAAGTTTTTTTTGCCTGTTTTGTTCAAAATGGCTGTACAATTTGATTTTTTTGTATTAAATAGGTTGAAGAAAAATGGATTTAAAAACTTGCCAAGCGCTTTTTATTTGCAATAAATCCTTCAAAACGCCACAAATATCGATAGAGGCTCATACACACCTTCTCAAGCTGTAGTTCAGTGGTTTGGGCAATAAGACACAGCCGAATAGACATTACGTGAACGACCCTGCTATGACGAAACCACCTTGCAAAAATTGAAATACGATCGAATAAATGAGTTTGTATAAGCTTGAAAGCATAAATTAACCGAACAGTATTAACCGTAATATTGCCTTCATTTTACGAAAAAAATGCCAATACATGAGCTCGAAATACAAATTATGGCGTCATAGTAGATTAGTTGTGGCGTCTTTGCATCAGATGTTAGCATATTATTCATTATCGCAAGCCACTCGTTTTGAGGAACGCTGCCCTTGATCTGATTACTTTTGTAGTTAGGCTCGTGAGCTAAGGTTCATGATTTTTCTTACTTAAAACGTCTCCCTGATATCTCGGATTATCATTCCGGGTAAAATATAAGAACTTTGGTGGAGATACAAATGTGGCGATAAGTGTACGCAATAGAAGTAAAAGTCAGAATAAAAATTTTTACTTACATTTTTGAAATTATAGTTCCGGCTGCATATGCAGCTGCCAGAATGCAACGTTTTGGCGTAGTTTCGCAGCGATGCAAGGGGTATTTCAATAAAAAATACAAAAAATACAGAAAAAAATTGATTTAAAACAAGCCCATGTTTTAAAACACGATGTTTTTTTTAGAATTGATAAAAAACAAAACCCTAGTTGGGATAACGATAAAATCTCCGATAGATACTGGATATTATTTAAGAGATATTTTATACCCTCTAAATTGCAACAAATGAAAAAATGTCCCATTCCGATCGTTAAACAATTTGCTTTTAAATTTATTTCCGAGGCCGAACCACCTATGTTGACTAAATTGAAATATACGATAATAACTGTAAAAAAAATTCAACCAAAAACGTCCTCGACGTCTTTTAAGCATTTCAAGTTTATCGAACTCGTTTCGTGACCACTGTAAGTTGTTGTAAGCTCGATTGCAAAAAGGGTGAAATAATTGTGAAATGTTTTTAAATCAAAGTGTGGATTGTGGCGGTAGGATATATGCGCCGTATTCGGTATTCTTATAAACACGAAATAACGATATTCGAAGGTCGCGATATACGAATATTAAATCTGAATTTTTACCACTGCGTGTTAAATTAACCTAAAATAAACGAATTTTATCATACATGCTTTTTTAGTTTTCGGCATTTCGTATGTAGAAAAGTCGAAGCAATATTTTTCCTAAAAGAATTTTTGTAACGTGGAACGTATACAGAGTTTCTTCTTCATTACTATCTATAGGGATATATTATTGCAGACTAACAGCGATAACTTATCATAAACATGAAGACGAGCGGTGTTGAGCGTGATGCGATCGCCGCTTTCAATCAGCATCGACAGCGCGTGATTTCTACTCTTGAGATAACATATCTCATTCTCGAATAAAAACATATACGGGGGATAGAGTCATTCATTATTAAATAGGGTTAGGCCATAATTTTATTCCAATTTTCCTCATTTTAGTTCGAGTTCGACGAGCCAAGTGACTCTCGTAGTATTTGTACCTGAAATTAGGGCCTAACTTTAACCTGGTACACACACTACGTTCCGATATCCGCCATCTTGGTTCGCATTCTACAGCAGTATCCTACAATGCACCATGCTCAATGATTACTCCTGGAAAATTTTGTCTCATTTGGACAATTTGGATAGAACTGTTTTTAAATTCCAGTTCCAGATTAAGCTAATTTCTTGATTTTCTGAGGAATATATTTAGTCCCTTACATTTTTAAAATACATCGATGACGTTTTGCAAGACAATTTTATTCACACAAATTAGCAAATAATATTTCCGCACTAAAAGTTCAAATTATTTTTCATGAATTTCATTTGTTAAGTTCAGTTCGTGAAAAATAATTTGAACTTTTACTGACAAAATATTTTGCCGAAAAATGATAAGATCAGAAACACATCTAAGAAATAAAATACCAGAGCAAAGTTAATGAAATTGGGCGCTCCAGAAGTATGTGTACCAAGATGGTGAACACTGGAACGTAGTATGTGTACCAGGTTAGTGTTGGGCCATAATTTTATTCCAATTTTCATTTTTCAGTTGTATAAACTAGCCAAGTGACTCCCGTGGTATTTGTACCTGAAATTATAGCATAACTCTAACCTAGTACACATACTCCGTTTCGGTGCCCGCCATCTCGGTGCACATACTTCTGGAGCACCAAAAATTGTATATCACACTAATTCCCACAAAAGAAAAATGAAAAGCAGAAAAAAGATAAAAAAAATTTGCCATGTTTTAAGAGTTCGAGAGGGGGGAGGGTTGTATACGAAATATAAAACTTGCTTATTTTATTAAAGAGAAGACAATGCTGTAATCAATTTGATAGATTTCTAATATTTCTTTATATTTTGTTTAAGTCACGCTGAAATTTCAAATTATTGTCACCTATTTTCAATTGTTAAATAACCAGAAATAGTTTTTTTTGGAAAATATCCAATTTAATGGCATGATGTAGAGCAATACAAACAGAGCAAATATAATAAAAAAATCATCAATCCTTATAAGTCACACACAAGATAAATAAATTGTAAGCGGGGGTGTGTGTAATAAAACTTATTGATTGTAAAGAAAAGACAATGTTGTGATTAATTTTGATAATTTATTGGATTTCTTATATTTCCTTTAGGCCACAGCGACACTTTAATTGATTGAAAATCAAAAAATATATCAAATTTGTATTTCGGGTGATTCAACCTGATATTTGTGAAAGATTTCAGAGCAAAATCTTCTAGTTAATGTGTTTATTCAATCTGGGAGAAATTTATCTATCGAAATATGTGGACCTATCAATTAGAATTAAGAAGACATGAGGCTTAAGAAGTCATCAATTCGATATACTGGATTTATCGGAAATGAATGTGAAAATATTTCAAAAATGTAAAAATCTTTTAACAAGAAAAATTAACAGCAATTATATAGTTTTCACTCAAAATGCTTTTAATAGAGAAAAAGTAAAAAGCTAAAATAGCAAAAACAAAATAAATTCTTCGTAACAATAAAATAAATTAATATAAATCTATTCCTGTCAATTATGTTTATACCAAAACTATTTTGTACCTTCGTTTTATGTTAATTCTGATTTCAAGTTTTTTTTAAATGAATCTAATTTGCATAAAACGATTCACTGTAAAATGAAAAACTACAAAATACTGGTCTGTGAAATAGGAGTTCCCACAGGAGCGGGAATCTTAATTTGTCAGAATTGTAGATTTTCAATGTTTTTAAAAAGGTCAAAATATATTGAAACATTTCTTGAACACATCTAAGAAATAAAAAATAGTTTGTTCGGTAAATATTCATTAATGAATGCAGTTTTATTGGAATTCCTACCCAAGAAAAGCCCGACAGACAATTTGAATATGTGAGCATCAAATCGCATCGGCTCAACATACAGGCCTCAGGTTTGAATTCAGTGGAATTGATTGTGTGGAGCTTGTTCAACTATGGAAAAAGTAATTTAAAGTTTCATTTAAGCTACGAAGGTGAATACAATTACTCTTAAACTCAAGTAATTCTACAGTTTTTGTCAATCAATCATTCAGTGGACAGAGTTATATTTCATTTTCACAGATGGCTCCGTCATATTTACTGGAAGGAGGATAATTAAAAATGATAGCTTGATAGCTAATTTCCGGGTCTCGATCGACACGAACAACAACAGATGTGTGCGATGAATAGGAAAGTGGATAATTATGATACCAAACCTCACTTGGCAAAGACATAGCTTGGCCTGTTGCTGAATACAGCTGACCGTTCTGTCAAAAAATAAATAGATTTTGAGAAATATAACAAATGGAAGTTTGAGAATATACTTGAGCATGGTTGAACCAGTAATTCATGTCATATGATCTGACAAAGCAAAACAGACTTATTTGGTCTCCAATAAAATCCTTAATGAAGCGTGACATCATCACTTGATTATTCTGCTCAGTCACACTTCATTGATTACTGTTAGTATATTAGAAAAAGAAAATGCGGTAACAATATCGGCCTCATTTTATAATGAGTTCATGTATGGCCGCATAAGCAACATGATTCACGTACCGAGTGATTGTAAGTCATTCCCGTACGAATCTCAATGTATGCCCTTCCATCAGTAATCATTGATCGTAAATAATCTCGAACCATGTTGTGGTGTGTGACGTCATAAATGTTAGCCAGTTTGTTTTTGCAAAGAGATTCAGCCATACTGAATGTGACGTTTTGCGCGTCATAAGTGACCACTCGAAAACATTTCAGATTATAGACAAATCCGCATTCTGAAAAAAATGACAGTCAAAACAGTTTGAAGTCAGATATTTATGAACAATTATTAGGGAGAATATTTATATATTTCTACGCTTTAACAAAAAACTTATAATTTTATTCAGGATAATGGTCTTTTGTAGTTTTTTTTACAATATAAGTATATTTCGACTCCATAATCAGCAAAACAATAAAATGAATGGTAAAAATAAATAAAATAAAAAAACTGATTATGAAATCAGAAGAGAGAACAAAACCTTAGATAAGTTTTAAAACGTACAGAATGTATATAAGATGGAAGGTTTTGCCAAGAAGAAGCGGTACGTGCTCACTCACCTAAAAGAATTGAAATATTTCACACGCACCCACACACACAACTATATAGAAGTTATTAAGTAAAGGGAACATGAAAAATTACATACTGGTAGTTAATTAAAAAATAAATAAAAATTACTTGCCACACCATATTAATAAATTTATGATGATTGCCACTGCCAAATTGATCAATTTTATAAATGGGAGTGAACAGTACAGATAAACTTTTATGAAAAATATATTGCCAAGCTGATTAGAGATGAAGTCAAAAGTTGCCCAACCAAAGTTGCCAGAATTAGGTGCATGAAGAGGTGGGATAGACCAGTGTTTTTCAACCGGGGTGCCGCGGCACACCGGTGTGCCGTAGAATGTTGTCAGGGGTGCCGTGGAAAATTCTCCAATTTTTGTGTATATGTGGTGTAGCGCCAGGTAGAGTAATCATGTATTAGTATTACTGTTCCATATCAAAAGTTGGCAGCAGCAGGTGGCGATTTGCAAGCATGGATGCAGCGACAGGTAATTGTGACGTATGGTACCACAAACAGCGCCAGGTTTCACACTGAGTGAAAATAATAAATATGAACGATTGTGAACTTTTTGTCCTTGTTTTTATTTGTTTATTCGGCATTACCCATTCATGTTTGATTTAGAAATAATTACTAGTTATTTGTTTCAGATACACAGACTAGGTGGTGAGAAAGCTGTAAATAACCAGCAGTTACGTGATAGCGAGGGGTCCAGCAATCCGCTCGCACATAATTATCCCTTATTGGAACCACCGAACACCTCAGAGTTTGGAAAACACCTTGGAGTAATTGGAAGTGCGATTACAAAGTTACTCAAACTTAGCACGAGGCACCAACAACCGAACATCTTGTAGCTTGGAGAATTATCCACGATTAAACAGCGCTATGCAACACTTACCTACGCAAGTGGGCACTTCACCCCAGGTTCCATTTTCTCCGCATTTTCCTATGTTTGATCCTTGAAGAACGTATCCAGCATTGCATGAGTATTTGATAGTCTGATTAACCTCTAAGGCAGTTGCGGTGTCTACAGTCCCGTTGTCTGGAGCTTTGGGTTCTGGGCAGGTACGTACTGTAATACAATATTGAAGCAGTTATTGGGTGCAGACCATGGTTTTCAACAAATTTCATTCCCCCTCCCTTAACTACAAACAAGATTAAGAGTGGAGTGGGACAAGGTTTTTGGAGCAGGGGCCATAAAAGTGTGACGTACAAAGTTACATCTTATGAACAATATTTACAGTGTGACAAAAGCAAAAGTGGAAAACAATAGGCATTGTATTAAAACTAAATTAAATAGCAATCTCAACAATATACTAAAAACTACAACCCCATAACCTTTTGTGGCGTCAGTCAGGTCCCGTCTGGATTTCATCGCATTTTTGAATGAGAAATCGGGTGTGCAATCAAAAATTCCCGCGTGCAAATCAGAATGCCCGACTCGCAATTATAGCTCATGCCCTGCATAATAACTGCTCCCGTGTGCAATTGAGTTTGACTTTGGATACTGTCAGACTATGCAATACATCCGCGTAAAATTATTGGATAAAAATCACTTTGATGAAAGCAAAAATGGACGTTTGATCTTTGACCCCCAAACATCATTTCTATACTGTCATTAATTTTGAAAGTGTTTTGTGACTTTGGATACTATCAGACTGTTCAGTACATCCGTGTAAATTATTGAATAAAAAGTCGTAGTCCGTATACAGATATCTGGATATTGGCAGAGTTACTGTTCTGACTATTCCTGGATCTCAAGTTATCTTTTTGTCTTTGGAGTCTCAGGTGCTTATCAATTCTGTGCCTCGAAGAGATTGACGAAACTTGGGCATATGTCTGTATGTTATTTCTGCCCTTTTCTTGCGGTCTTACTACTTACTGAATACAGCGCAAAACAGTGCAAAGCAGAAAAAAATAACAATGAGTTCGTGGTACTTGTTGGGGTACCACGGCAGCAAATTAAAAACACAAACCAAGGCATGTAGGCTGTAGTGACAGGTCTTCCCCTGCCGGTGACACATTCTGGGTACTATAATTTAGAACATTTTCCATATCGTTAAAAAAAAGGGACCTCCATAAGTATGTGCACCAAGATGTCGACAACCTAAAATAGTATATGTGTGTAGCGGATTCAGGTTGTGCGGCATCATGGTGCTGGACACAAGGTGACGCACAACCTGAAAATAGTATGTGTGTAGCGGTTAGAATTCAGGTTGTGCGATATCTTGGTGCAGATACTTCTGGGGGTCCATTTTTTATCTCATCCTAACCCTAAAGCCAACCATATCAATATGGAAAATGTTCTGAATTATAGTACCCAGAATGTGTCACCAGCAGGGGCAAACCTGTCATTACAGCCTATATGCCTTGGTTTGTGTTTTTAATTTGCTGCCGTGGTATCCCAATTCAAAAACAAGGTGCCACGAACTTCTTGCAAAATTTTTTTTTGCTTTACACTGTTTTTCTCTGTTTTGCGCTCTTTCACGCTGTATTTAGTAAGACCCCTTTTCTTGACCTATCTGACTGTGACATCCAAAAATTACGACTTCATGGTGACGTAATTAAGTACCCAAAATATACGGACGGTCGCCCAAAACGCGCAGACAATCAGCCGAAATTGGAGTGTAAGTTGTGACTCCTCTACGGCCTATGGGACGCGGCCCATCAAGTTGTGTAAAGGAACTAATCACTTGGCTAACACAGACAGTCCCCGAACTCATAATAGAACTATAATGTGAAAAATCTAAACAAAATTTTGTCCTAACTCTAACCTGGTACCCGACACACCCTATTTTTTTTAATTCTGTAGAAATTAAAAATTTGATAAGATAATTTAAATTTTTCTGATGGGGCCGTGGCCATAGAGGAGTCACCACCCCTGTAGCGAATTCGAGCAAGCTGCATTGTATACCATACAAAGTCATTCTAATCGTTGGATCATTTCCTAAATCTCAAAATGAACAGAAGTTTAAACACAACATTTTGAGGTTTACGAAATGATCGAACGACAAGAAAACGATAGAGAGAAAGTACGGTACCGCATGACACTTAATATGACACAGCTTGCTTGATTCGGGGTTATCGTAAGCACGTTCTGGACGACCGTCCATATATTTCAAATGGGCACACTAAATCACTGTGATTTTGGATGGCGTCGTCAGATTATCGGTAGTCATATGGGGGTTAGGATAGACATATGCAAAAATGGTTATACCACGCCCTCCAGAAGTACCGTTACTTGTGCTACTAAACTAAGGTTCAAGTTGGCCTTGCTATTATAGCTATTTGTAAAAAAACAACCAACTACCAGAAATGAACAAAATAACAGCGATTTCTGGGTCTAGTACGGTTTAGTCCCACAAGATGGCGTACATGATCTGAGCGTTGCCTCGCTTTATGACCTTCTGACCTTTGATGCTGTTGTTTCGCCATGAGACTCGAAAAATCGCGGTCTGGTATAGTTTAGTACCAAATAAATGTACTTATAGTGGGCGTAGCACAACCATTTTGGCATGTGGTATCCCTCCTTTCGTCATCCAAATTCAAACCATTCAATACGCCATCCAAAAAGACCCGCCAAAATATACGAAAGTTTTAGCAAGATTTTTTTTTTTTGGATGACGCAGTCAGATGCTGGTCAGGAATGACGAATGTCAACATGTTATGTTACGTCCGTAGTACTTGTGCTACTAAATTGCACAACACCCGAATTTCTCGAGTCGTACCTCGAAACGGTCATGAAGCGAATCAACGCTCAGACTATGTACGCCATATTGTGGGAATAAATAAAATCATTTTTCAAGAATAATCCTTTAAGTTTAGGCGAATATTGATAACTTAAAACCAAGCAAATACATTTAGTGTTTTTGAGATTCGTTTTCACATCTCACTCCAGACAAGACGTTAGACAAAACACTAAAACTAATACACAAAGATCTACTTTTTTTGAAAGCATCACAATTTTACTCTAATGGGCCTCAGTTACTGGGGAATTCCTACTTAAGATATTTGACGCGTACTAAAAACCGTTTAGAGGGCAAATATTTTGGGAGCGAAAACCGATAAAGAAGAGGCCACACCAACCTGTACTCTGTTCGACTTTTGTTGTTTGTGGGAGCACAGTAGAGAGAAAAGCTTCCTTAGTTGACCACGGGGTTGTAGCAGGAACGATTGAAGTACGGGCCTTAGAAGTTTTCTTGTCTTTGTATCCTGTGTGAAAAAAGTGAGTTTATATTACAATTTTAAAGCAAGATTTGTAGTTTTGGGTACTACAAGGTATGAATGAGATACTGAATGGCAATGCGGATATATTCCAATTTTTTACTTTTTCAGCTCTTTCGCATAATCGCCTTATTACCGATTATTATGGCTGAAGAGGACTTTTTTGTTATCTATTTTAGTGCATGCAGTTGCTAAAGACATAGATTTTCATACCGAGGGGAGGGGTCGTTTCTTTGACATCGTCAACAGACGGCGACACTGAGTTTGTCTCTGATTCTTCCAGCGTCTTTTTTATTTGATGGAGCCTACTTTCCATCCCGTCTAATCGTTCCGTCAAAGCTGCGAAACATAAATATAAACAGATATTAACTTGAGCGTTTTCAGTTTTCCAATCCGTATTTAGTGAGTTTTTTGTTAGATTTACACTCATCTGGTTAATAATAAGAATATGAGATGGATATTGCTGAACTACTCGCCATGATTTGCTTGTTAAAAATCGCGCAATCAAAATATAAAGGAATTGAAAGTTTTCTATAAAAACGATTGTTTGCTGTCAGACCGTTTGGCAAATATGAAAACATAGCAAACGTATTTCCAAGAAAATTATATACATAGTGAAAACGAACCTTCCAAAGCCTTCTCTTCTTCTTTTGGGCACTGTCCTCCCTGAAATAGAACGGAGAAATGTTTAAAATCATAGACATAGAAGCTGCACATCGCTAAAGTAAGGTCTTAGCTGAGCATGTCTTTCCCGTGAGAAAAAGTATTCCCATGGATTAAAGTAGTGGAATCGTAAACTCAGGGTTAAAGTATCGGGCCCCATCGAACTCCGAGTACGTTTCACCTACAGTACTAATAGATGGAAGAAATTTCAAGAACATTCTATTTTCTCTCACCATATTAACTTCTCTCCAAGTAGGTTGTCCGTCGCAATTCATACCCATCCAGCATTTCTCACCTGTTAAAAAAAATTGAAATTAAAAATCGAGCCAAATGACCGTTTTAAAATAAGTTTATAACAGATAAACGAAAGTTAAGTTACTGAACTTTTTTCATAGCGAGACTAACTCAGTACCTATTTCCTTATGGCGCGCATTCGCTCATTCGATATTTAACTCCACAATGCTAACCACGTTATGCGAACGCACTATTTTCCTCGATGATGATTGGTCGAATCAAATTTGAATTATTACGCCCCCCATTGGGAAACCTAACCTGTTTAGCGCCTTGCGGGCGTGTGCGAACAAGACTCTCTGTGAACGAACGACCACTCATACGTAATTATCTGCAATATTTTGGATGGGCAGCGATATTGTTGATTCAGCATTGCTTATTCAGTTTACAACACCCTGGGTGAGGTGGTGGGTATAAATGGAACCTGAGATTTTACCCCGCGATGCCAAAATATCCGAGTTCAACGCTTTACCAATGGGCCACTACGCCCGCTAATCTGTGAGCGATTTTTCACATCTAAACATTTGAGTGTATATGACGATATTTATAATTTAAGTTTAAAAACAAAACGTTTCAAATAAGGAAATCCTCTCATCGGAGATTTCAAAACCGAAATATTCTCGCAATGAAAGAAGGGCTATTTAGTAAGATCTACGGTCAGGGCAGGATTTAGAGTAGACGATAAAGAGTCCCTGGGCTGCGCTGTTTGTGATGACGTCATAAAAGCCATTATAGCGTCATAAATAAATTGCGTGGCATTTTAGCTGCTGGCAAAATACGTCGCGAATCGTCCGAGTAGATTGGATAGTTGATTGAGAAACTCTGGCCGTAACAAAACGCCATTAAACCGGAGCACCGTTTTTCAAATTTATACATATTCATTATTTCACTGTTTTTGATTTTCTAAACGGTAAATATTTGGAACGAGAATTTATTTGATTTATATTAGCTATATAAAATTCTAAACCGGTTTTATTCTAGAACAATCTTTTACAATTTAAAAACGACTTAAAAATGAATAATAGTTTTAAAAATTGAATGCCGAGGTCCCTAAGATTGGAGGCCAATAACCTTTAGCTTACTTTGCCTGGTAAATCCGGCCCTATATACTGTACAAAAACGCATCCAATACGTGACAAAATAAACGAGCTATTCAAGGGAAAAAGCTATCAGATAAAAAATCATTATTTTATATATAAATGTCGGTTAAACCTTCATCGAGAGACCGAGGTTTGTCAGAGCAATACACCGCCATACCGGCTTCCTCTACGCCGGAATAAATAAATATTCCTTCCCCTGATACAAATATGACAGCTGTGACGCGAGAAAACAGATATGAAATTTGACAATAGAACTGTTTCAATTCAAAGTTACGCCATGCCGCATATATTAGCTAAAGCGCTACGGGTGCTCCCGAAGTATCCGTACCAAGATGGCGCACAATCTGAACATAGTATATGTACCAGGTTTAGGTTGTGCGTCTTCTTGGTACGAATACTTTTGGACCGACAAAAATTGTGCAAAAAGACGATGAAAAAACACTTTAAATGTCGAATTTAACATCTTATAAATGTACTCGTTAATCGGCGCTCTGGAAGTCTTCGTACCAAGATGGCGCACAACCTGAACGTAGTATGTGTACCAGGTTAAGGTTGTGCGTCATCTTGGTACGAATACTCCCGGAGCGCCAAAAATTGTGAAAAAGACGATAAAAAAACTTTATTTTTCGAATTTTAACAAATTTTAACATCTTACAAATATACTTGTTGATCGGCGCTCCGGAAGTCTTCGTACCAAGATGACGCACAACCTGAACAAACCTATCCGGGTACACATGTATCTTCAGGTTGTGCGTCCATTTTGGTACGAATACTTTGAGACCACGCAATTTTTTTGGCGCGGTTCAAAAAAATATTGTAATTTATAAAATAATGTCACTAAAACACTGTTACACTAGGAACGATTATTGTTAGATTTCTGGATTCGATAGTTAGAAGAAATTAAAGCGTTCATGCCGTTTCAATATTTATTGCCTGATTTTTGGAGTCTTCATATAATTTTTAAATAACTAACCTTCTGTACTAGGCAATAATTTTCGAAAATCGCTGGGGAGGTTTTGAATGTTTATTTTATTTTTGCTTTAGTGGAATCAGCAATTAATACAGGCGATTAAAAAAAACGGCGCTCCAGAAGTATGTGCACCAAGATGGCGGACACCGGACCGTCGTATGCGTACCAGGTTAGGCCATAATTTTATTCCATTTTTTCCTATTTTAGTGACTCCCGTAATATTTGTACCTAAAATTGGCCTAATCCTAACCTGGTACACATACTGCGTCTTGGTGCCCACCATCTTGGTGCACATACTTCTAGAGTACAAATAACAGCGGTAAAACAACAAAGCATGCACGGTTATACTGACCTTTAATCAATAAACAAGCCTCCACCAACAGTATTAGTCCGATGAAACTGTATCGAATCGAATCTTCATTTCGAGTCAAAGAATTTCGTCTTTTCTTTTCTTCGATAAAAGTCGATTCCCGAACAACTTAGGTTAAAATGAAGCTTCAGTCTATTCGCATCGGAATATATCCTATGCAAGCTCACTCACTATTTTAAAGCGGAAAGAGAAATTGCTTTCTCTCTTTCAAAATTTCAGGAGACGTGTTGCGTCACAAAAAAGAGAGTTTGGTAAATGCTGCTCTTTCTATCTTTATGAAACGATGACGACGACGTCACAACCACGCCCGTGAGAGTAATATTTGGTGGAATTTTGCGCGATATGGCATATTAATTAACCGCCACCATGATTCCTAATTTATGAGAATACAGGCCAAACCTGTCTTGTCCGCTCCCAATATTGCGGGGATCCTGGCGAAACCGATTTCGCAGGCCCAGTCTGGATAGATACAAGCAGTGGTAGGATTCAGCCGGTTCGGACCGGTTCTATAGAACCGTCTCAGGGAACTTTACGAGATCAGCGAACCGGTTAGCATTACTGGTTTATTTACTAAAAAAATATGACTTTTTGTCCCGCTGCGGAAGTATGTCAATCAAGATGTCGCACAACCTGAACCCTAACCTGGTACACACACTATGTTCAGGTTGTGCGCCATCTTAGTACACACACTTCAGGAGCACCCTTTTCGTAACAATACCAACTGAAAAATATGACTTTTGTGATGAAACCGGCTGACAAAAAATTTGAATCCCCCCCACTGTATATAAGTATACTGAAAATGAAAAACTTGGGGTTATTAATGATTTGAAAAATTGAATTTCAAGCGCAATCTTGATTCCTAACCCTTCCTGTATCTGGATAAATACAAATTATTTGTTTTGAGCGGTGGCGGGTGTTTTTGGGTGCGGGATTCATACAAAATATCTCGATTTATTAGAAACAGTGCGATCAACAGAACTGATTGTTTTCCTAATATTTTTAATGCACGGCCCTATTTTCTTAGCCCAATGCACACATCGTCACCAAGATCGTGATGTTTGCTAGCCTTGTTCAAAAAACTGTCGGTGTCAAAAGTCTAATTTCGGATTTCGGACGTCGAATATAGGATTTCGAACGTCGAATATAGGATTTTGGACGTCGAATACTCGGTTCACCAGCTTTGGAAGCGCAGAACAAGAAAACGCCACAATAAGAACCGCGTCGCCAACTTCCAGTGGTTATGAAATATAGATTTGAACAACCTTGAATTCGATACAAGCAAGACCCGTACAGTAACTTTGATCATGAATTTGTACCAGGGTAAAAAGCTAGTAAAAAGGGGAAAACGACATCTCGGTTGTACAAAGGGTGCTCCAGAAGTATGCGCAGCAAGATGTCGCACAACCTGAATCCTAACCGGTACACACATACTATGTTCAGGTTGTACGCCATCTTGGTGCGCATACTTCTGGAGGTACGTACAAAGCTATTATTTATATATTTTATTTATTCTTCCGCGCAATTTTTGAAGCGACTTTTGGCTGATTCAAGCAAGTCAGTGTGCCGTATTTTACGGACCACGAGGCGGCACTTATCCTTTTATGGGCCAGTTACACAAATTTATAGATGCCTTATGTATGGATAAGCCCCAGCCCAGCCCCAGCATTTAATGACGGTGCGCGATAACCCCTGTACACACCACGGTTCGCCTTATGTATTTATAAATAACCCCAAACTAATCAATTTATTGACGGTGCACCCTATGGTCCGTAAAATACGGTAATTTTGGGGTGCCATATTCGTATATCAATGTAGATTAGCAGATGGTATAAGTCCTTATTCGGCGTTAATTTCGTAGATGATCAATCGATATGAGCCGCATATGTCTGTTAAGTTGATCACAACTTTTCATGGCCATATGTAAGTGCGCTGAACTTATGTTTGTGCCGCAGTTGAACTAGGATAAAAAAAATTAGGTTGGCTTCCAAATGAATGTATAGAGCTTTGGTCCAGGCTTGGCACTAGACAACATTTGTCAAATATGCCCGTATGGCGCTGAGAACCTGACAATATTATCAAAACTTCCTGTGCAATTCCAGGTATTGTTGAATTAAATTTCCGTTGTATTGTTCATAGGTGACACCATTATTTCGAAGTACCGCGTTTCCAAAACAAATTCATGTATATGGGGGATTAATATCGTATATATTTAATCGAAGCCCTTAGTTTATTTCTAAAAAACTTACATATCAGACGTAGAAATGCACTGAAACACCGCGATTCGTGAACATAAAACATGTTGAATTTTTGTTCCTTTGCAAAGTTAATGCTACATCACGTGATTTGTAACTCCAAAAGTCGGAATTGCAGAGTTTCAATGACGATAAAATGACTCAAAACTTCTCACTAAACCTCGGAAAAAAAGAAATAATTTTACCGTATGTTTACTAGTTTTATATATAGGGCACATTGTCACACCGTTCGCTCTGAACAAAGTCTTGTATGAGCTACCAGTGATATCCAACGACATACAAAGACTTATTATTATTCAGAAATACCGAAATTTTTCCGACTCGGAATCGCCACCCCCAATTTATCACACCCTGGGTTATGAGGTGAGTATGGAATTTGAATCCAAGACGTAAAGCAAAGCTTCAACCACTCAGTCTTCGCTATAAAGGAAGAATTAGCATTGCTGCGTAGTTTACCTGCAGTTATGGAAACTCAACGAAATCAGTCAAGACATCTGCACAATGCTAAGTTAAAAATTATTTTTCCAGAACCTGTTTCGTCGCCCATTTATGAGGAGGAAAGGGAGGGGGATTTTATTCTGAAATTTGTGAAGAGGTAAAATAGAAAATAAATGTTGAAATGGACGAATTAGTGCGAAGATTCAATTTGATAACAACAGACAAAAGCTGGTTAAATTTCTGATTATTTTTCCATTGCCTTTTCATTTGCAATGCTTAGAATGCGAAACATCTGATACTAGGAGGGTTAAGTTGGTTCAAAACGTCAAAAGTTTTAAAAGCTCGTTTACTGAAAACTAATGGTTGATTGACGTAAATCGTATGATGACAGTTTATATTTTTCTATCATAATTATCACGCGATAGGCTGCAATGAATTGGAATAAAGTTAATAGAGTTTATGTCGGTTACTCGCTGTTGAATCAAGCAGTGATCACGCACTCGGGCGTTGGCAATATTAGTGATTATTGTTATGTTACGCAACGTGGCCTTTTTCTGATCGTTCTCTCCCTCCCATTTGTTTGAAAAACTCACGATAAGCCAGAAAATTGCCGCAAAATTTTGGTTCTATTATTACTTATGGATCATAAGATCGGTAAGTATGTTGATAAGTATTTGTCTGTTTGTTTGTCTGTCTGTTAGATGCACGCGCTATCCCACGAAAGCGAGGTTGAATCTGCTTCAAATTTTGCATGTGCATTCATCGTAGCTCGGATCAGAAGCCTATTGATTTTGAATGGATTATGTCGTATAATTAGCGAGTTATTAATTAATTAGTGATGGGACACACGTTGTCGCTATGGAGTAAGACCACTGTTTTGGGCGATTTCCTAACCTTCGATCGATAAGTCTTCGGTTTCCAACCAATATTCTAGTTTATAAGATTTCTGATTTTTTTTGCATTGCTATTTCGTTGCAATGGTTAGCAAATGCAAAAAATCTGATACCAGGGTTATGCTGGTTCAAAACGGCAAAAGTTCGTTTCCTGAAACCTAATGGTTTAATGACGTAAATCATAGTATGTTGATAGTTTATATTTTTGATCATAATTATCACGCGATGGGATGTAATGACTTGGAATAAAGTTAAAAGAGTTTATGTCGGTTACTCATTGTTGAATCAAGCGGTGATCACACACTCGGGCGTTGGAAATATTAGTGATTATTGTTGTGTTACGCAACGTGGCCTTTTCTGATCGTTCTCCCCCTCCCATTTTTTTGAAATAAGCCAAAAAATTTCCGCACAATTTTGGTTCTAATATTTTAAATTTAATTTGTTTTGTAACACATCAAGCAGGCGCGTCCATATTGATTCAAACAACATTTTTTTGAGAACTCCAGCTTGCGTGAGAATTATCGCGTCAATTTTATCCCGATTCCCACTTGAAAATGATCATAGGCAGAGCTGCCATAACGTCCTCTTTTCTAAGATTTGTCCTAATTCTAAAGGTCTTTGTCTTGGAAAATATTTTGTCCGTATTTCAAAGAAACGTCTTTATATTGACATGTGTCATCATTTTTGTATTATTTTAGGGGCAGAATTTCTTATACCGGGCCCTGAAATTAGTAAATTCGGATGATCGGTTTGCTAGAAATGATATTAGAGCCTCATTGATTGCTATGCGGATTCATAACGTAGTAACAGCAAATTAATTGCCACAATGACAACCCACAAAGATCAGTTGGCTAACTTGAATCAAAATACAACTTAGAAGTGAGATGGAACAGATAGTTACTAAGAATAAAGAACTGATGGAGCAAATACTTTCCAGTGGAAAGTTTGATCAGACACGGGTCGCACTGGCATGAATACATTTTGTTTCTTAAAGTTCGTTCTGTGTGATTTTAAAAAATAATGTTTCCTTGATGTCTTTATTTTTTACAGTCCTGATTATAGGCGATTTTTCATAGTAGAGTGAATAAAAGTTGGAATTGAAAGTCAACTCACTAAAACATATTCTCGGCAAATCTGACCTAACACTTGCCAGGGTGTTTCATATTTTTGAAGGGTTTTCACATCTTATGGGAGTGGTGTGGGAGAATCAATGTACTCCATCAGTCATTGGACAGCTAGTTGTCAATAAATAAAGGCAGCCGTCACATTAAATCAGTGTTTCCCAACCCGAGTCCGCGGTCTCAAATGAGTCCACGGAGCGTTTGAATGAGTCCGCAACGAGCCAGAAATTAAATACGGGCTGCAAACGTTTTTCGAAACTTAACTATCAGTCAAGTTACGATTTACGCTAGAATTTACATAAAACTTAAAAGCAAGGTCATTTGCATAACATTAACCGAGTCAGTAATTACTGGTTACTGAGTAGGGCTGCGCATTTATTCGAACATTAAACCATTAGAATAGCAATTTACTATTCCAAAATTTGGTAACACGTGACGCGACAGGTCGCTTCGATAGATAAGTGGTGTTTCTCGCAAGTTTGAACAACGAGGTTTAAATTTTTTCCTGGTAGATGCCTATGGTGGCAACCCAAAATTTTCCAAATTGAAAAGCGACAATATAAAATAAAACTGAGAACACCATAAGTTGTGTTTTATGACGGTAACGAACGATTAAAAACGCTTTTTAAGACATTGCAAATCGCAAAATTTCGGGTGCTACCGTATAGTACACATACCTGGGCAGTTCCCCTTCGAATACCTTACTTTACTGCCTCCACATTGGTACGTACAGTACTGGTACACAACCGTAGAATAAAATGATCACAATTACATTAATAAAGCAACCCATCTCAAAAATGCCCGTATCGTTCATGGATTGAATATTTTTTGCAACAGAAAAAGTCATTGAAAAGTCGGCTCTTTTTTGACGAGTGACGTATACGCGACTATTAATTCAGAAGTCATTCCGCGAGAATTTCAAGGCGATGAATACGTATTTTTGATTTACTAATATACTTTATAAATATTTTAAGTACCAAATCAAGTTGTACTTTCTGGGAATTTATAGCAGATAGTAGAATTTTTAACGAACACGTAATTGCGGCGAATTTCCGATTTAAATATTCGTTAAATTCTGTTGTGCTTGGTTTCATTGCAATAAATGCACCTTGAGTCAGCAAAGGTTTTGGCCGATGAGAAAATAGTCCGCGACCAAAAAAGGTTGGGAAACGCTGCATTAAATGAATACAATGAAGCCCTGGGGCTCCGTACGGAGCACTTTGAGAACCTATGAACTAGATGACTCGAGTCATTTTATCTGGGTGAAGGTATGCCTGCACGAAACTTTTCAACACTGCATTCTAAAGATGATATTGACTAGCACTTGGGAAACTGCTATGATTGATTTGTCAGGGCGAAAATCGCTATCAAAAAGAATCAGACTACATCAAACGTCGTACGCTCTTTAAACAAAGCCTTGTACAAGCAGATATTTAACGATTTAGTTGGAAATTTGTATATCAAATATATTAGTGAGATAGATACTTTAATTTCAACTCCGACATGGTGCAAAAATGATGACATACACGAATGAAATTCATCCAAATTGTGCAAAACGTCAATAAGGCTTAAAACATCAGACATAAAAGTGCTACATGAGAAATCTCACCTTGTGATATTCAATAAAAGCGAAATCACGATGAGATTCTCAAGAATCGGGTTTTAAGTTTGTGGTCTTTGCGATAATATACAAATATAAACGAAATACACGATGATATATAAACTCACTAATCGGTGTTTAAGCTTGTAAGCATTTATAAAATATACGCTTGTGTTATGCTCGCAGGAGAAGTGGAAATACAAACAATCAAGTAACAAGGCATATATTCCCCGTTTGACTATTTTAGCCCAATTACAGCGAAATTGAACTTTTAGCTGAAATTGCCAGGAAACTTGCATATACAGGAATCAAGACAAATTAAAACTTTATTAAAAAAAAATAGGTGAAATTTTGTGAATCAAGTGTAATATGAAAAACAAATCACTCTGTGTCACGAGTCGCCATTGAAGCCTGTAATCATAAATTAAATTAAATTACGCAACATTATGCATCGTTCACTGCCCCGCAATCAAGTAACAATGAATCCCTTTAAATTATGAAAGTGTTGTTTATTCGGACCGCAGCCCCCTACACACCCCTTGCGTTGTCGAACTAACATCGCTAGTACTTTTCCATTATGTTCACCTTTGTCCCAGGCTGACAAAGTAAATAAATCTATTTCGCAATTTGAGACGATTCGATAAGAATAGTCGCCGTGTTGAAAGGCGAAGGATGAGGTTATTGTATATTAGTAAAAATGAAAGGACAACTATTAATAAGATGTTAGGAGTAAAGGGAATGCTGCATTAATTGGACAAATGCTGTGACTATTCAATCCGTTTGTCGCTTTTCTCCAATTTAATATAAATGATTGAATCTAAAATATTATGTCATTTCTGCAGCTTCACTTTTTGTTGGAACAAATATAAAATTGTCTGTCTTCCATACTTAACCGAATTACTCAACGCTTGCCCAATGTTCTGAGTCAAGGCAGATAATTAAAGTAGATATTAAATGGTTAAAATATTAAAATCAAGTGGAATTTGTAATATGTTTAAAATCGTCGGTGTCTCGAAGATGTTTTCCAAATTATTGTCAAACGCTTGTCCACTGTTCTGGGCTAAGATAGACAGGCTATATAGTTTGGGGCTGTACATATCTGATTACCAAGACTTTTAAATCACATGATTTTGCCATGAGTTGAATGTTTGAATGCTGGATAGGTAGTGAGTGATATATATTATGTTATTATTTCACTAAATACTATGAATCTCAACAATCACAATCGAAAAAGAAGGCAGTCAACGATTAAAATAATGATAGTGTGATTTGGAAAAAGAATCTGATGCGATCAAGTATTCGAGCTCATGATATTTCAGGGTTCGCCCAATAGTGTTCCCTCTAAGAAATTGTTACGCTGAGCAAATGTTTGTTTTTCTGCGCATGAATATTTTAGTGCTGCGTAGAGTCTTAATTGTGTTGCCGCAATTTCTAAATAGAATCTTCAGCTGCTGGAATTTCAGTGAGCGATTGTAACATTAAACAGAGCTGCGTCTCCTATTGATGAGTACGCGTATCTCGCTATCAAAATTCTAAATAGTTTCTGTAGCTCTTGGCATTTCAGCCATCAGTTCCAATGGTCGCTTTGCTCTGAAATAAGTCTATTCTACTACCGAGTGAGTGTGTATGATGCACTCCAAACGTGCATGTTTTACTGAACATTGGTATGACAGGAACGCCAAATTTATCATTATTGAGAGAGAGAGGGAGAGAGTTTATTATTTTTGTCAACCAAATAAAAATAAATAAATTTTAATATAATAAATTAAACAGCATTTATTATGGTATAGACTGGGAGATGGCGATACGACCAAAGGTCATCAAAGTCAGCCACCACCCATTCCAGCCAAATAATTATCGAGAAAATAAATATAAAGTAATCGTCAACTAGTTAACTACCAATTATTAAAAATGAAGTATACTCTCAATACAAAAAATAATGTAAAACTAAAAGGTACCAGAAAAAATGGGTGAATCGTAGAAAATAGTCCTGTCCTGTCTCTAATAAGAGAAACATATTGCAATGTGTGTTGTCTATAAGAAAAGACTATGAGTTAAGAAATTAGATGGCAGTGTATGTAATAGGATTTTCATAATTAGCCCGAAAATAGCAAAGTGCAATGTTATGGCGCATGAATGTTTGAAAACCGATGCACCAGGACATCTTTATTACAAATTAGGATTTGTCTTATGCAACATTGAATGTTGTTTCAATCTCTCCTTCTCTATCTTATGTTGCAAAAGTGAAATCACCAATACTTCAAATATTTTCGTAATTTACAAATATCGCAGAATCTAGTTAGGTAATCATCTTGCCGTCATCTATACCTATTATTGAAGCTTTGCTATTTGTGAATCTCTTCCAAGATGGCTGATTTTAGAAAATCTGCAAAGATTACCCATTCATTGAATGTACTTACATCATTCAATGAACTAAAACAATCCGACTGCATTTGTAACTTCACAATCAAAGTTGGTGACAAATCTTTCAAAGTCCATCGAGACCTACTTGGCGCAGCATCAAAGTACTTCAAAGGCATGTTTTCAAGTAACATGGTTGAGGTTCGGAATGGTTTTGTCATTATGAAAGACATCTGTGCTGATGCTGTAGGGCAGTGTGTAGATTTCATGTATACTGGTGAAGCAAATCCATCCATGGAATCTGTTGAAAATACTTTGTATGCTTCCCACTTAATGCAGCTTGATGTATTATCAAGCATATGCTTTAATTTCATGGAAAATAATCTGTCGGTGCAGCATTGCCTCCTAGTGATCAGGTTGGCAAGGCTTCATGATCGCACAGAGCTAGAAACCATTGCTGAGCGATTCATTCTGGATAATTTTGAGTCTTTGATTTTGGCTGAAGATTTTTTACATCTGAGCAAAGAAGAACTCGTATTTTATCTGCAAAAGTTGGATAAAAAGCATGAAGTAGTTTGGCATGCTGTGAGAAAATGGATTTCAAACAAAGGTGAAAAAATTGGATCAGAATTAATGGAGACTTTGCATTTTGGAGAGTTTCCTTATAAATTTTTGCTCACTGATCTTCTAAAGGATTCGTTGGTAGAAAGTTCTCCAGATGCAAAAAGTTTCGTCATCAAAAAATTGCTTTCAAATATTGATGGATTGAAAGAGAATTTGTCTCTCGACACTTTATTCATTTTGAGAAAGATTAATCAGATCGAAAACAAAGTTTGCTCAGAGAATGTCAGAAATATATTCAATGAATTCATGACTCATAATTTTGAACAGGTTGTACCGATGGATGAATTTATAGAGTTGGAAAAAGATGAAATTTTTTTCTTGTTCAAATCTCCGGAAACAAAATGTTCTTCAGAGAAAATTAAATGGGAAGCTGCACTGAAATGGGCCAAACAAAGTCGACGTCATCAGAATTTATTTCCAGACTTGTTCGAGTGTATAAAACTTGAGGATTTTTCTGATGATTTTGTTCAACAGACAGTCAGAAATGAACCTTTGGTTAAAGAGTCGCATAAGTGCAAAGATTTATTGCTTGATGTTGTCTATGCCAGAGCCCCTGTATCTAAACTTGTCCCACATATTGCTGTCTCAACGAAGACTGGTATAAAGGCTCTAAATCTCCAAACAAATCAATGGTCTAGTTTGCAGTCAGATTATGATGTTGGCATTTATCTTGTCAATGCTGAGGGACGATTGTATGCTTCAGATGGGAATGAATTGTCTTTGCTACAAGATGGTCGATGGATTAAGAAGTACAAGATTGAAAGGGAGAGCGATGTGTGGGATAAGATGGTTTATCTCAAGGGTGGGATTTATATTATCAGCTTTGATCAGAATACAATACGATATGACATTGCCAAAGACAGATGGCATAAGAATTTGCCTTTATGTGGTCTTAATTTTGGTTTTTGTGCTGCTGCCTCTCATGAGTTTATATATGCAATGGGAGGTATGTCAACACGAAGAGAAGCAAAAGTATACGATCCTGGAACAAAGAAATGGTCTTCCCTGCCAGAGATGATTTATGGAACAGCTGGTGGTGCAGCAGTCGTTTTTCAAAGTATGGTTTATGTACTGGGTGGTTTGAATTTCTATAGCCCCCACAACCTTGTTCAATGTTATAACCCTGTTGTTCGCTCATGGACAGAAATTACAAAAATGAAGATGAATAGAAGTTGGTTCAGTGCATGTGTTGTTGATAATAAAATGTATGCAGTCGGTGGGGCTGAAGGTGAAGGCCTGACTAAGGATTCAATTGAAACATTCAATGAAGAAACTGGTGCATGGGAAATAGTCTGTGAAATGGATTGGCCTGGTCTGGACTGGGTTTATTGCTGTAGCTATGCTCGATAGATGAGTAATCAGTGATAAAAGTTGATGACAAAATATGCTTGTATATATACAACTTGTATATACTGATTGTATTAACTCTCCTGTTGAGTCATATCCATAAAAATTTACATTTTTGATTCCAGTATCAATAAAACGTGACTCTATCTCCACAGCCCTGACCAAAGATTGAAATGCCTATCTATGTGTGATTTGATCTTTGTACCTGTATATAATACATGTGATTATTTCGATTGTTCTAATTTGGAAATCTACTTAATCATTGTTTTATGTCAGATTTTATAAAAATTTTGATTGCTTTACAAATGCTGAATTTTATGATTTAAAATATCTTTTATTTTTGGCATCCATATTCCAAGCATCTATAGTTTTGTTTTATTACAAAATTTAATATAATCATATGATGAATATTTTAAAGTGTGTTCATAATCCCATAAATATGCAATTATTAATTTTTCAGTGATATAGTATAGATTGAACTACAGCTAGGTTTCAAGTAATCTGTCCATAAAGAAAAAACGGGTTGAAGTCTTTGTATTAGAAGAGTTGAAATCCCATGACCCACGTTCAAGTTGGTTCAAAACGACGGCTCGGGGCTCGGATTCTAGGTATGTGAGCTTTGAATATGGTGCGCATGATTAATCTACAGCGAATTTCAACTTCCTCAACGCGTTTCAAGCCAAAGACAGTACGAAAATAACTTCTGTATAAACTTGAAGCGCTGAAGTTATACTTCACAGCTTGTTCGATATTCTCGACTTGCAAATGGTCAATATATGACAATACTCACCACCAATGCACCTCAAGATTTACCCAGGAATGCCATGCCTGTCGCACAACGAGTGTTGGTTGTTTCTCACAGGTATCATTTCCTTAACCGCTGACAATGCCAGAACCAGAATCATTTTATTACCCACCGAGATAGATTCTCCCAATTCACCCAATAACACCTGCTTCACCGATGTAGCCACGATCACAGCCTGCATACCCCTGACAACCACCCTGCAATCTTTCGCTCCGGGATGTGGCGCATCAAGCTAAGCGTCAGGTATACACTCTCCACCGCCCCTCTGATTACCCGGTGTGGATTCGCAGGTTTGAATCCCATTCTGAGTTTATTATGTGCCAGAGGTTTGCTTGCCGCCTTTGTGTGGGTAAGATATTCGCTGGTCGGTTACAACTTCCTCCACCATCGAGTTTACGTATCTGAAATAAGTAACTGGCTAACTAATCCCATACCTGACATGGACTGTTAACGGGACGAGAGGTCGTGGTTCGCCATGTGATTGAGCAGTCATTTCAACTTCCCTCTCCCACAGGATGAATACGTAAATCTTATCTAAATAAGAGATTGAATTCCATACCATCAACTGCTGATATTTTGTGTCTTAGGTTGGTTATAAAACTCACTGGAACCATCTGAACTACTTGCACATTGTATTAACCACATGTAAATGTCTATTTTACGCTTAATATGTGCAGATTGAATGACTCTTATATCAATGTACAATTGGTTTTGTTAGAAATATATATAGTGTTTGTATTCAATCAATATGGGCAATATCAAGTATCTGTGTTTTATATACTTTACATTTTATTTGCATAAATCTAGTCTGTTTCAATGATCATATGATCATTAATAAATCTCTTGTCCAGGATGTGCGACATTATACTTTTATTACCATGATATACTTTCTCTAGAATTGCATAAAAATTGTCCTGGGTGCAGTTTACAAGCACATAGCTAATGGAAATCTAATGAACGATTGCAAGTGACAACCAATGGCTGAGACTTGAGAGCTAAGCAAGATTTATCCTATTGAAGGATATAGCAGTTGGCACAGGATTTTGAGCAGTTCAACACTATCCTATCAAGAATATTAATAACATGTGAGAAACCGTGTTCACGTAATATCATTCTGTAGGGTGAAATATTATTGTGTTAAACAACCTTGATTTTAGTATAAATCCTCAACCTTCACTCTATAAAAAACGCATTTGCTGCCAAGTTTGTGTGAGGATTTGGATAATCGAAAGCTTTTCGGTCCTACTTTATCAAACAACAGTTTTTAAACAGAACAACTTGCATCCCTTGATTTTATTGCGCTTATTTGGGTGCTCCCGTAGTAGGTGTACCAGGTTGGGGCCACAATGTTATTCCGATTTTCCTCATTTTATTTCAATTACGAGTTCGGGGACTGTTTGTGTTAGTGAATGTACTCCCTGTCCATAGGCTTCCATGCCTTTACTCAACTTGATATAAAATAGGCGAGCAACTCTAGTTACCTCCATATTGGTACACATACTTCTGGTGCGTCCTTATTTGGAGTATATAAATCCTAATCCCGAATATTCTCTCAACAAAGCTCTACACTGTGGTATCACAGTTAATTTTTTTTTTTCAATTCAGCCCTTGCAAAAACTTTGCCTACTCCAGTTCTAGAATATGTTCCAAATACTTGGTACCCTGTACTTACAATAAAAACATTAGAATAGGCACACAATTGCAGAATGGAAAAGATTCTGAGCCTACCTTGAATATTAGCTTTCTACATTCCTGTGACAGAGCCTTGTTCCGAGGGAACAGTGTGGAAATGCATTGTTCGCTATAGTATAATGAATATATGACCTAGAAATGATATCTGTTCCAGCCCTAAAAGAGTATTAAGGGAGGTTTGTCTGGTCAGAATTGAAGGTGGAAAACGCATCGAATTGAATTATAAGATGCTTTTGCTATTGGTTACCTTCTAACCATCGACTTTATATATTTTATTCTCAAGTCAAATTACATACAGTACAATCCTTATATAATTTGACTGGAATTCTGCTCATATTGTAGTGACATATCAACCTTTGTGTACATATATTTGTGCATTGCGTATTGCATCGAGCCGTGCTGGTAAACTAGTCACAGCTCATAAGGAAATAGATTAGCTGACGTCATTCGATAATTTAATAGTGTAATAATTTACATTTGTAAGATCGAGCATGGTCTTATGTTAAAATACACAGCTGAAACACTGAACATGTTTGGTAAACACGATTTCTAAATACATTGGTAATATGACTCCAATAGGTAATCTGATGACTGGAGTTGACGTAATATGAAACTGTTATATCTTTATGCAGCCTAGACGCGATTATTTCATTGCCTGAGTTGGGTTGGGACTATAGTGTTGTCTGCAGATAATACACGTTATAGATTTTTTTGAAGAAAATATACTCAAGGCAAGTCTATGCGCACTCACTCATGTAGGAAATTTATTTCTGAGAAAAGTTGGTCTACTTTGCCTGGGACATCATTATAATGAAAAATTGCGCATTAGCTAATTTCGATTGACTCGACAATTCAGGTAATATATGTTGAAATTAGGATCAGGAAAACAGCATTTAGGTCGTGAATTCCGCATTATTGAAAAAACAATTTACGCCTGCTTTTTTTGCCAGTAGTAAGGTATCCTGACAGTGAAAAAGGGAGAGCTGCCGGCTAATCGAATTAGATTTTATAGGTATTTGACAGCAATATACCATTTACGGTACATTGTTTGTCAATCCCATCCATTGTATAATGATGTAATACAACGTTCACGCATGCCATATGCTCAAGGCTGGATATGAGAGGTCACTGATATCTAGAGACTTGTTCTCTATCGAAGTTATTAAATGTACATAAGCTGGCATTTTCATCTGTCTCGTTATTGATAAGCCAGGGCACGCTGGGTTTTAGGTAAATCGTTCAAAATAGAACAAAATGGTGTTGAAATGACGTAAGAATTTATGCCTCACTGCAAAATTTCATTTAAAGAAAATGTTGAAACGATCTCTCCAATTTCCAACGCTTTTAGACAGTTTTGGGGGATATTGTAATGTTACTCTCATAATAATGTGCATGTATGTATCTGAGAAGTTTTATTCTTCAGTAAGAATTCGTAGTTATTTGAAAAAATGGATTTTTGTTGATGGTTATTAAAACAAAATGGTCCAGAACATTGCTGTTATAAATTAGGATCTGACTGTTTTGTAGCCTTGAATGTTTTTTCAATTTGTACTACTACTATTCGATTTCTATTCATCTATATTGTGCTACAAAACCTAAATTCTACAATAGCTCAAATATTTACTCATTATAAAAATTGTACAGAAACTAGTTACATCAGCATCTTTACCTGTTATTAAGGCCTCACTATCTGTGAAGATCTTCCAGAATTCAAGAAATGGCTGAATTAAAAAAATCTGCAAAAATTACTCACTCATTGAATGTACTTACATCATTTAATGAACTAAAACAATCTGACTGCATTTGTAACTTCACAATCAAAGTTGGTGACAAATCTTTCAAAGTCCATCGAGACCTGCTTGGCGCAGTATCAAAGTACTTCAAAGGCATGTTTTCAAGTAACATGGTTGAGGCTCGGAATGGTTTTGCCATTATGAAAGACATCTGTGCTGATGCTGTAGGGCAGTGTGTAGATTTCATGTATACTGGTGAAGCAAATCCATCCATGGAATCTGTTGAAAATACTTTGTATGCTTCCCACTTAATGCAGCTTGATGTATTATCAAGTATATGCTTTAATTTCATGGAAAATAATCTGTCAGTGCAGCATTGCCTTCTAGTGGTCAGGTTGGCAAGACTTTATGATCACAAAGAGCTTGAAACCACTGCTGAGCGATTCATTGTGGATAATTTTGAGTCTCTAATTTTGGGTGAAAATTTTCTACATTTCAGCAAAGAAAAACTTGTATTTTATCTGCAAAAGTTGGGTAAAAAGCATGAAGTAGTTTGGCATGCTGTGAGAAGATGGATTTCAAACAAAGGTGAAAAAATTGGATCAGAATTAATGGAGACTTTGCATTTTGGAGAGTTTCCTTATAAATTTTTTCTCACTGATATGCTAAATGATTCTTTGGTAGAAAGATCTCCAGATGCGAAAAGTTATGTCATCAAAATGTTACTTTCAAATATCGAAGGGTTGAAAGCGAATTTATCTCTCGACACTTTATTCATTTTGAAGAAGATTAATCGGATCGAAAACAAAGTTTGCTCTGAGAATGTCAGAAATATAATCAATGAATTTATGGCTCAGAGTTTTGAACAGATTGTACTGATGGATGAATTCATTAAGTTAGAAAAAAATGAAATTTTTTTCTTGTTCAAATCTCAGGAAACAAAATATTCTTCAGAG